ATAACGCGCGCCATCGCACAAGCTATTCTGCAGTTACTGTTGTGCTCTGCGTAAATTCAAATCGTGAACTTTACTAGGCGACATCCAACAAACCTGCCAGGTATATATTTGCGTATATATAATAATTGTTTGATGTTTCCAAAACTCATTGAATGCTAGATTAACTGTTGTCGTAGAATTATCGTTTAGTTGAGAATTATTTCAGGATTTAAGATTTTTGCTTGTCGTACGTGGCTATCTCGTTTTCTAGTGTAAACATAAAGCTCGAATCCGATCTGAAAAATCTTAAATCCTGAAATAATTGTCTCAATTAAATAATTCTATCACAACAGTTAACCTAGCATGCAATGAGTTTTGAAAATTATTACATGTACGCATAGAATATGGTAAATATGGAATATGGAATATAGAATCTGGTGTTCCCCTTGTCAGAATTGATGACATAAAAACTGAATATACTAATGAATTCTTTAGGACTCTGTGTGCTATCTGGGCTGTTTCTAACATCTCTTTAGTATAAAAATTTAGTTTGAAAAATATATTAAAATCAATATTAATATATATTACTACATATAATTATGAATAATAAAAAGAATATAAAAACGTCTGTTTACAATTGAATAAATTTATTAATAATTCTTAATTATTTACTTGTTCATAATAATTATTAATTAATAATAATTGATAATATAATAATAATTTATTAATTAATTTAATAATAGTTTATAATTATAAATAAATTATACAATAGAACCATTATCTTTTATTAAGACATTGCATTACATATTTGATACTTATTCACAGTTTTTCCAAAATGTATATTTCCACCTTGTATAAATTCTTATGAAAGATATTCCACTCTAGCTCACTAGATGCAGTGATTCACATCCATGTAATATTTGAGCGTTTCGAAATCCATTAGAAAAAAAGTGTCGCAACCTAAATGACCACGACTGTACCAGTAGGTTTGTTGAATGCCATCTGGTGAAGCTCACGATCGAGAATTTACGCGTCGAAGGCGTCGGAGCAAGAGTACAAATATGCAGAATCTCCCCGTATATTGCATAAAAATTCATCCTTAGGCCGAGAGCACATGAAATGCATAACAAAGCATAAACATAGCATAAGGCGGCTAGACCAATGAGCAGCCCGCATAAAGACGCCATATCGATTTACATAAGATTCTTATTGGTCTAGCCGTCTTATGCTACGTTTATGCCACATTATGCATTTCATGTGCTCCAGGCCTTACGGATTTTTCATCACGTTATATGTATTATGTTTTATGCATTAAGGTGCCTTTTCATACGCACCACGCAGCAGTAGCAAAATGTCACGTGATTCAAAGAACCCTGCACAGATCTTATGTAAAATGTGCCCCCGGTTAAATTGATTTAAACTGAAATATGTTGTCCTCTACGTCCCGAACAAAAGTCTTAATGGGCACAAGTCTCTGAATTCAATACTTTTACGCCTAGAGACGTTTAAAATGGAAAATCTATGGTTATGTCATACTTCTTAACGAAACAAGTAAATGAATAAATCATATACAGAGTGTCTCTTAATAGGTGTATCACCGCTCATGGGTAGATAGAATGGACTAAACTGAATCGAAAAGTCCTCTACCATTTTGCAAAATTCGCAATATTTAACGAGATATTAATTTTTGAATATCGCCGAATGAGCGAGTATCCGTTCGGCGAGTCCGGCCCACCGCCAATATGGTGGAAATATAACATGGTGTGTGTAGAGTCCTAGATTATCAGAGAAGCGCGACCGGCTTATGGCAGTATCGCAAAAGTACTAGAAAATATTAAAAATGGCGTCAAATGGCCAATCATAAGATTGATTTATTCGACAGCCATTTATAATACCGATAAATCAATCTTATGATTGGCCATTTGCAAGTCCAATCAGGACTCGTAACACCGGTCGCGCTTCTCTGATAA